TTTCAGAGCAAAAATTTCGCCCCTTGTTGCGCTACGGATGAAACGAGCACAGTAAGAGGTGACTCGTAGCAACTTTGAGGGATTGTTGGTTTGCTCTAGGGGCCATATTGCGTGTCTGACTTGTTTTCCGTGGACGCGGAGGTGTATGCCCTTTTCCCGACGTCACTGTCGATGTTTTATTCTCGTAGATTGGTTGCGTCCTTGGCGGGCCAGCCATTGTTTAAGGTATTCAACCATGTTGGACCAGACCACCAACGGTGACACTTTAGTTATTTTTGGTCACTCCTCTAGTTGCGCATTCAGCTATGTTTTCATGTGTTGGCACATGGTAGAATGTGACATTGCCGGTATCACGGATTCCTTTTGTGATGAGTTCAATTTTCTGAACGAGCGTGGTGATCATAGTGGGTAGACGTCTATATCTTTGTATCCAACATAGGGCAATGGTTGAGTCGCTGAAGAGGTTGACTTATTCACACTTGATGTCTACCTTGTTCGTGGTGGACCCTGCTAGACTGAGCCCTAAGAATGTAGATAGAAGCTCTAGACGAAGTAATGTTTGTTCCTTTTTATTGGCTCCACTTTAGATTCTGCGTGGAAGCTTTGTCTCTTTGATGCCTCTGCAAGACATCGTTCTTACGTAGATACTGCAAGCTCCTCTTGGAGCTGTCCACAAATATTGACATCGTATGACCGGTAGCCCCTTTTTTCCGCAACTTTCCTAGGCAGGTTCACTTCAAACCCGATCACATTTGTTGTGATGGATTTCCAAGTGTTTTGAACCTTTTCAAACAAGACGTCGCCCCATCCGTGCTTCTTTTTTCGAAGATCCTGAAGAAATATCTCAGCAGGAATCATTAGCGGTGATAGCAGGGCAAGAGAATCGTAACAATATCCGTTGATCTGGCTGAGGACTGTTTTTTAGTGGTCTTGTTTGCTTGCTTCTCAGAAGCAGAATTCAATAGGTAATCTCGTAAGTTCATCCCGATGGAAGAGAATAAACGCTAAGACTCGGTATATTTCCTAATTAGTTCCTCGGCTGTTCTGCCTTTGAGGAGTACGTTGTTCACGTAGAGAAGGTTGGATAGCTCTGATGCAATGCCCGATTGAGATTGTCGATATGCTTAAGTACCGATTGATTTGAAAACGCTGAGCTTGCTTCAATGCCGAAAGGAACTCGACAAGAGCGAAAGTACACGTGATCGTTCTATGTCGGAGGAAGGGATGAATCTTTCACCCAGAGGAGTCTTGCTACGTCTCCGTGTTCTTTAGGCAGCCGTATTTGTAGAAACGCTTTGCGTGCGGAATTGGAGAACCACTTTAGGTATCTATGGGGTTAATGAATGGCTTTCAAAGATCACGTCATTGAAAAAGTACTCGCCCTTTGCATGTGAAGAGACATCGAATACAATTCGCAACTTGGTAGATTTCAAAGGAGACCAGACGTGCCTTTGAGGAAGGTAGAAGGTAGCGACGCCATTGAAAAGTTCTCTTTCTCTATCACTTCTTCTTGAAGGTACGTCGTCAGAGTGTCGTTGTATAGCATGAGTTTTTCTTAATCCCTGTTCATTGTTCGCACTAGGCTTTGCAATTTTCGATAGGCTACATTGAAGTTATCTTTGAGGTTCTCAACTTCATCAGTGAAGTCCAGCAGTGATGGTTCCATTCTCGATAGAAAGGGTTTTCCTGTAGTCTTCCATAAATTTGGTGACGGCTGCTTTATCTATGCCACTTTTCGTATAAATTCCAATGATTTTAACTCGTACAGATGTTTTATGTCCGTTTTGTAGTCGTCTTTTGATGATATAAGAGGAGTAGCCATAATGAGCGGGCTACATTGTGCATCTCTAACTTGCTTCATTGACTGCTTTCATAGTCCGGAGGCCGGGTACAGATTGATGGATGCTGCAGCATCTATCAGTCTTCGCTAGAGACAGAAACAATCCTTGCAGTAGTAAATGTTGCGGTACTGAACAATGGCATTTTGAGCGACGCTTCGAGTGATGATTCGATAAAGCTTCGTTGAGCTCCAATCGAGAAGCAGAGTTATAGTTCGATAATCCATCTCAAATTCATTGAAAATCTGAACTGAAGCACATATTGACAAAATAGTTGGTTTTATTTGTTTGTTGTATTCACCTGAAGAGCAATATTTGAGAAGGTTTAAACTCGGCTACTTCCTTGTTGCTGATTGGGCAATCTTGGCGGCTGTTCCGAGCGATTGTGATTCGCCGAATTTGCACTCCTCGAAGTTGCTTGAGAAATTGTAAATGGCGGTGGATATTGTGTAAAACTCGATGTGTTCGCTGGTTGAGATCTGCCTCCATTGAAGGTGCAAAAATTGACGGATGGTGGTGTTCTTTATATTTTGGACATTTGTTGACGACAAGACATTGTCTTGAATTGTGCCCATTGTTGAAGCATCTCCAACATGCTCTTTGTCTTTTGGCTTCGGCTCTGCGCTTTTTTGGGGAGATGAACTTGATGCACCGTTGCGGGGGGTGCATTTCTTCACAAAGACATCTCAGTTTCTTTTGATGTTCGAGTACCTTTCCAGTTGTGTACGGTTATTGCCTTGTTTGGTTTGAGCAAATCCGAACGCTCTGGTTGTCAGCTCGATTGTCTCTTGTAGCGTAATAATTTCGTCGATGGACTCGATGATCTCGTTCACATCGAAGGAATTTTCAGCCTCGCTTTGTTTCTGATGAGGGTACAGCAGATCGATTTTTTTGAATTTCGAGAGTATGAGACGTCTCCGCATTCGATCGGCGTTTATTATTGCTCCTGTCTACTCCAGATGTATGACCCTCGAAGAGATAGCTGCGAGAGTTTCGTGGCAACTTCTGGAGTTTCCTTGAGCACACGGAAGGCGCTCGATTTCGTCCTACCGTGCTATGCTACTAATTGAAGAAACTGCCTTTCCTTTGAGTGTCTGTGTCAGGAATTCTTGCTCGCTCAAGTCGTCATCGCTGTGAATTTAACTCCTTATATTTCCCTGAGAAGGTAGGAACTCCAAGCAGTGGACATTGTACCCGAATGTTGCGCTCTTGTGGGGTGTTGCACCAGTAGACATTTCTTGACAGCTGGTGTTACTTACAGGATGTTGTTTCTTTCCTGAGACCAAGCCATCAGTGCACTTTGTTGCAGTAACCCGTCTCTTCTGAACTCGATCTTATTCAACCACTATATGACCAACTTCCAGCATGTTTGATTCAACTTCCAGGTGCTTGTTCAAGTCTAGCATGAACTTTTTGCCCTCTTTTTGCTCTACTCTTCCAATAGTATTCTCTATAGCTTGTTTGACGCATGTGTTGTGGAACTGCTTTGCTGAGTTGATTGATTTTTCCAAACAATTGAACTGCGAAGTTCTCTCTTTGATGTACTCTTTGCATTCCTCCATTTGATCGGGAAACACAAATGCTTGGCTCAATTTAATGACTTCCGGTTCATTAGACTCGATTAGTACGCAAGCATGAGTGATCTTTTTTTGGACACTTCGTTGTTCTCGCAATAGAGTTGCTCCTGCCACACGGGTCTTTACTTCTCCCTTGTCGGATTCCTCAAGGACGAGAAAAATTGGCTCTTTTCTGCTTCTCACTGTGGAGAGGTTTTTCAGAAGTTTATTGGGTGCCCACCCCTCAGGAAGGATAGTTGGGAAACTTTGATAGTTCTTCCCAATAGGTTGGACAGAACTAGCTGAATCGTCTGTTTTTCCTGGGGAGAGCTAGCACAGACAATTTTTTCGGACTTACTTGTTCCTCAGGGAAAAACTGTAGGAGAAATCCGAGTGTTTGATCCCAGCTGGTGAAAGCAAACCTTGGATCTACTTCTCAGAGAGAGTAGATAAATATGAGCCTTGATTCCGTTCCCTCAGGGAGGATTTGTGAAGGAGCCTGGCTTTTGTTTTTGCTTCCAACAGGTGGCAAACAAGTGTTTGCTTTATTTCCATGATCCTCAGATAGGAGTTTTCGGAGTTTAGGCTTTATTGGTTACCTTCTGTTTGTCACTGTGGAGAGCTAGAGCAGAAGGGAGTTGGTGGTCGAGGATCCAACGGTCGATGCACCAATTTGGTGGTTGAGGTTGACCAGTGGACTGTACAATACACGTGTGATCATTTATTACGACGTGTAAAGTGACTGACCTAAATACACGAATCTGTTAGCTTACATACATATG